TCAACCCATTTTCACTGTACAATCCAATGATTTTTTGTAAACCTACAGGTTTGGGTAACTGTCACTACATCTAATTGCCATGACCCCCAAGGTCTCCATGCCTCAGTACAGATATTCCTTGTCCCGCTAGAGCCTCATTTAGGCACAGATCTACTTCCTGTCTCTACAGAAGAGTCTTTTCTGGACATTTCATGTAAATGGGATCATGTGTCTTTTTGTGTCTTGTTCCTTTCACTTAAGTTAAAGTTCTTTTAACTATGTTGGAACACGTACCAGTATTTTATTCCTTTTAATTGCTGAACAATATTCTGTTGTGTGGATGCATCCTAGGTTGCTAATCCAGCATCAGGTCGTTTAAGCACCATCCTGATGAGAAGCAGGTCATCCATGGGGAAAGGAGTCAAGAGCCACAGCAGCCACAGATGGACAGTCCTGGGCTCCATTTCCTCTGCTTCTGATGACCAAGCTTCTCCTCCCAAAGACGACAGCCCCTCCTGGCAGAAAAATGGGGAAAGTGAGATATAGACAATAGGTCAGGAGCCTGCTTTTAAGTATTTTGAATGTAAATTCCTTCTAACACTACCTCAAAGAAGGCTACATTTACTAGGAAAAGTATGATCTCCAGAACTTTGGATTTGTAACTGGAGATGACAGTGCTAAATTCAATTTCAATAATCATGGCTCCAGAGAAAGTGATTATAATCTTTATATTTAAAAAAAAAATTCTGTAGGAGTCTGAGACTTTTTTTTTGAAGTGAAGATTATAGAAAAGCTACAAACTTCATTCATGCTTATTTTGTGTGTCATTCTTTATTTTGTGCATTTTTCCATCTCAGCTGTAATCCCTGTGGACTTCCCACCCCCAGGTCACCGTGTGCCATCACATAGTCCCTGCACTCTTCCCACCCCACCCCAGTTTTGATCCTAAGCCCCTCTCTACCCCCATAAAATGTCTCTGGCTTATAGTTGTTCATTGCTTTTCATTATTATAATTGCTTTTTTTTTTTTTTGCTGGTCCCTTACACTCTTGCTATGAGTGAAACCATCTGATATTTTTCTTTTTCTTTCTGGCTTATTTCACTAAACGTGATCCTTTTCAGCTCCATCCATGTTGCTGCAAAAGGCATGTGTTTATCTTTTTTGATTGCTGAGTAATATTCCATTTTAAATCCAGTCATCTATTTTCTCTCCACATCCTCACCAACCTTTGTTACTGCTAGTTGCTTTAACATGTGCCATTCTCACTGGTGTGAGATGGTCTCACTGTGGTTTTAGTTTGCATTTCCCTCATTACAAGTGATGCTGACCATTTTTCATATGCCTGTTGGCCATCTGCATTTCCTCTTTGGAAAAGTGTCTCTTTAGCTCTTCTGCCCATTTTTTGATGGGGTTGTTTACTTTTGTTGAGTTTAATCAGCACTTTGTATATCTTTGTAATCAGTCCTTTGTTATCAGTATTGTGTGCAAAAATTTTCTCCCAGTCAGTGGGGTGTCTCTTTGTTTTGTGCAATGTTTCTTTTGCTGTACAAAAGTTCTTTAACTTGTAGTCCCAGCTGTGTCTCCTTTCCTTCACTATCCTTGGGTATTGTATCTTTAAAGATGTTCCTGAGGTGTATGTTGTGTAGTGTTTTGCCCATATTTTCTTCTAGGTATTTTATGGTTTTGGGTCTTATGTCTAGTTCTTTAATCCATTTCGAGTTGGTCTTTGTGAATGGTGCAAGGTAGGAATCTAGCCCAGTTTTCCTAGCACCATTTGCTGAACAAACATTCTTTGCTCCTTTGTCAAAGATTAGCTGTCCATAAATCTGTGGGTTATATATCTTGGTTTTCTATCCTAGTCCACTGGTCTGTATATCTGTTCTTGTTCCAATACCATGCAGTTTTGATTATTATAACTATAGTGTAGCTTAAAGTCTGGGAGTGTGATGCCTCCATTCTCTTTCAGGAAAATGTTAGGAGAGTTTTGGCTATTTGAGGTTTTCTTTTTTTGTATGTTTTTGGTTCCATATAAATCTCATCAATATTTGTTCTATTTCTTTGAAGAATGCCATTGAGATTTTTATTGGAATAGCATTAAATCTGTATATCACTTTTGGTAGAATGGCTATTTTAATGATGTTAACTCTGATGATCTATGAGCAGGGGATATCTTTCCATTTCTTTGTGTTTCCTTGTATTTCTCTTAACAGTGTTTTGTAATTTTCTTTGTATAGGTCTTTTACCTCATTTGTTAGGTTTATTCCCAAGTATTTGATTTCTTTTTGTTTCAGTTGTAAAGGGGATGTTTTTATTATTTATTTATTTGATTTCACTTCTTCTGATTGGTTGTTTGCATGTAGGAAGGCTACTGACTTTTGTGTGTTGATTTTATATCCTGCTACTTTGCTAAACTAGCTTATTATTTTGATTCATTTTTCTATGGAGTTTTAGGGGTTTCCCATGTAAATGTAAATCTGCAGATAAAGATAGTTTTACTAAGGCAATGTCTTCCAAGATAAAAATGTATACTTTTCAATACTAATTTTGCAACAGAATTCTTTCCAGACACCCAACACACACACACCTTTTTCTTTGTTTAAACATGCTAACATCCTTTACATTCCATTCTTTACCAATTAGTCCATTTTAAACTGAACTTTACTAATTAAATAAACAATTAGCTCTAAGGTCACATTGGGGATAATGGAGGTAGGGGAAAAGAGAGAGTTAGAAAATTAGCTCACACATTATCTGAGATTTTATTTCACAGCACGCATACAAAGGAGCTCTACACCCAAGGCACTGGAGATTACTCATGAAAAGAATTTACAAGTGAAAGATAATGAGGGAGCTTTCAGTAAGCGTCAATCTGTTGGTGGCTCCTGGAGGCCTCAGACGCTCAGAACACAGCCACGCTGAATGAGGACAAGGTGACATTTACAGGAGAGGGTTCACTGAACAGAGCCAACGCTCACCAACCCACGAAAAACATCTTCAGGGAACAGGAATCTGCTTCTGTGGACATTATTGTTGGGGCTACTGTGTCTTTCCAGCTTTAAAAGCCCTTTAGCCACGTGGGGGACCACACAAACCCCACTAATTACTGGCATTTACCGGATCAGCCACCCAGGCTGGGAGGATGGCAGAGTGGCGGGCACTGTGCATGTTAAAAGGCAGGGAGAAGGCCACCGCAGAGCCCTGAAACCTGCCTGCTCTAAATAGATTTTGCCATCCCTCCAGTCAAGATAAAACATACAGACCATTAAAGGAAAGGAACTTGAATATGATTAGTGTGTAGGTCAGAAAAGATAACATAGTTTCCAAATCAGGCACCCAGTATCACCCATCCCCTCCTGCGCAAAAGTCCACCCAAAAGGAATTGGCCCAAAGCAAGGCCTGAAAGCTGCCACAAGTCTAAAGCACCTTCCAGTGGGGACCCATAGGAAAGGGTCAAAAACAGTCAGGCAAGTCTGGGAAGACAAGAGCAAAATCAAGATCAAGATAAATGCTGCCATCATCAGTGTCCCCATGGGTCTCTTACCCATGTCAGTTTCAACCAGTCCAGAGCTAAGAAGCCAGTGCAGCTTCTTCTCATGTCTCTGCTCCACGGTCTCCCTCAGGCCTCCTTCTGGCCTCCATCATACTTCCTTCTTTCCCCAGACTCCTTTCCATCTCTTCCTCTTCCTTGTTCAGCTCCACCATCCTTGGGTGGGGCAGGGACCCTGGGACCTCCCCTTTTCCTGGGGACCACCTGTTACACGCTCACTTAACAAAACTTGGCAAGAAGAGTTTCCCTTTTCAAGCTCGGCTATTTTTTTTTTTTTTTCTGCATAGGTTTCAGCATGAAAGCTCTGTAGGTATTCTCTGAGATGAAAAAAAAAATCATTTTTAGAGCAGAATGATAAGCACTATGAAAGATTGGATATGTCATTACTTAGACAGCCAAGTTTCAAAATGCTATGGTCTTTATTTTCTCTGGGAGAAAAGCCCTCAAGGAGTCAATCACCCATGTGGGAAGATGCCCTTGCACATCAGATTCCACCAAGCTCTAGAGGTCCCTGTGTCTTTGTCCCATTGCACAAGAAACAAGGAGCAGCAGCAGCCCCTCCACCCACATGTCTCTGGAGGTTCTCCTCTTCACAGTCCTCCCTCACTGCAGTCATCCTGTGACCTGTGACCTCACCGGTGCTCCTCTTCTCTGAGCTCCTCCTTTATAACACAGCGGAGTTAGTTTTCTTCCCAGGGCTGCCCACCTGGCACCCTGCAGGCCTCTCTTTTAGCAAACCTGTCTCTTTCAGTGCTGACCTTTCTGCCACTTGTGTCTGCAAGCATTCTTCACCCTTCCCTCCCTCTTATGAACATAACAAACCTGCCCTTTTGGATATTAAAAAAAATACATGGAGAGGAGAAGGATGTCAAAAAACGTCTGAATCTTCTGTGATGCCACCTGTCAATGATGACTATTTTAGCTATAGATTTCTTTTTAATAACTGCTAAGTATGTCCATACAGACATGTGTGTGTACATATGTCTGCTTATATTCTTTACTAGTGGAACCACTCTGAAAAATCTGTTGCAACTGACTTTTCTTCACTAAGTGATAAACAATGTATGTATTTCGTATTATGAAATGCATATTTGCATTTTCGTGCTAAGTGGTTCTATTCTATTTTGCAATAATGCTGTCTTGTCATTCATTTAAACCCAAGGGAGGAGAAAAGTTAGAAGCATGATAGATATAAATTACTATGCTCAACTTCTCTGGATATATTCTACTAAGAATGCAACCTGACACTTATTCATGCACACATAGCCATGAAGATTGTGTCGTAAGATAATAATGGAGATGGTGCCATCAACTTGTTGTGTTGCAGGAACTCTGGAAAAATTAAACTTGTGGGAGTGTGACTTTTTTTGTAAACCATCTTGGATGTCCTTGTCTACTCAACAACTACCACAGTTGTTTTGCACATAGTAGGTGATCAAAAAAGTATGTGTTGATTTAAAAGGGATGAAAAGAGAGGACACATATACTCCATGCCGTGAGCAGTTAAACTCTGTACTCATGCATCAGCTCTTCACGTCCTCGTTCAGCTGGTGTCAGAATTCTTTGGAGTAAAGGCAAAAGAGAGACTAGGAGACCCCAGAAATTTCTACAAGAATCTAAAAGAAGCTGTAAGACATAAAGAAAGCAATTCTTATTTCAGTACTCTAAAGAAAAGTAGGGAAGAGAGGAGATCTGATTTAGTGATAAGAGCTGCAGCAATAGATACCATAGATTCTAAACATTACCATCAAGTGCAAGTTCTGATATGCTAATCAAGCTCACTTTCACTTTCTGTATATTCTGGCCAATGTGTAAATTGCCTTTGAAGTGGTGAAGGAATGTATAAAATTGGCAGGTGAAGATTACATGCTCAATCTTATAGATATTAATAATTAGATTTGTCTGTAGCTCTAGAGAAGGCTGATGAACACAATTGTCCATAAAATTGATTGAAAACTCTGTAGGTAC